GATGGATATTTATGCACGTTATTTTCCAGAGTGTGTAAAACTCGCAACCGCATATTTATTTTTCTATTTTTCAATACTATGACGTCATAGACCAGGTGATTAGCATCAAAAAACAGGAAAATGCTAATAACCACAAACCTAGTTAAATTTGTGAAAAAAAAAAGTTGAACGGACATTATATTGAAGAAGAAACRAGGAATTAACGTTTAAAACGATCCCAAGGTTAACGAAGGTCAAACCCAGGCCTTAACATAATTGAGGAAATGTAAAAAATATTTGCAGGTATTATGGRAAAATGGTCTATAACATGGTTATTCTTTATCTAAAATACCTTTTGAGTATGGTTCTATTTCACCCTGAAATGAAGAGACAGTCACTTTCTTAGTCTACAATTAGTAACAATTATTCTTTTGCAAAAGCATCACAGATCCAGGAGATGATATTTCATAGGATCAAATCTCTATACTTTGTTTCTCATAATTCACTAACCTTATCAGTACATCTGGTTATATGTTGTCTAAGCTCAGTTCTAAGCATAATGTGTTTTGCATTAAATGGACAGGCTACGAAATCTTTCTCTGGATGTTGCTAGGACRACAATGTTTCAAGGTTAACTCACACATCAGTCAATAGACTGTATTTCTGATATACTACGTTCTCATGTATTGAGGTCTGTACATACAAAAGCATTTATTTCAGCTGAACAAAAGGTGTCAATACTGAATCTTCTATGGAAAAACAGTTCCATGGCTAATGCTATTTCAGAGAAGCCAAGTTCCCAGAGAAGGTTATGTTCAACAAAATCATGAATTAAGGAATAAAAGACGAAATTCCGTGTTTGATACTCTGATCAAAACACGCGGGATGTAGGGAGAGCACGAGAGAAGCGTAGGAAACCACGACGCGTAGCGGAGTGGTTTCCAGCTTTTCGAGTGCTCTCCCTACATCCCAAGTGTTTTGATCAGAGTATCAAACACGGAATTTCGTCTTTTATTTCTTTTCTAAAATTAAAAGAAAACAAGAAATTTTTGACGTGCGGAGCGTGTTTTGATACTGTAATCAAACATGGTTTTCGACCAATCACAGCACGCGTAGTATCCTAAATATTTTAGAAATGGTCATCCATTATCAAGCAACCATAATAAAAACTCTCAATTCACTATTCACACACTGTAAGCTTTATGCACTTATTTCTTATCSCAGTGGGGGAAGTGCAGGTATACTTGGGCTATTGAAAATAAAACCCCAYCACAGGGGCCACTTAAACGTTATTGAAACACGGTTCCCCTACCATGTGGTTCATTGACATTTGGACCAGGGCTTATCTAGCACAGGGGCATATCCAGGATTTTCATTGGGGGGTCCTTATATACCAAATTGTCAATGTGACATCATATGACGTCAATATGATGTCATATCAATGTATGGTTTTCTTGCTTTTTTGGCTTTGAAAAGGGGGGGTCACCAGCACCCTGTGACCCTCCCCTGGATATGCCCCTGTACTTCAAACATGTATCGATGTCTACTACGCCTGGAAWAAAACCCTGAAACAGACTAGTTTCTTTATCACAGTCAGAGCATGAAACGTGACTGCTGGACACTTTGTAGTACAGTGAAATATATTTTTGAGATCTCAAGAAAGATTGAATAAAAAATACGGACAGAGGGTTTGATCAAACCCCTTCCCTTTGGGTTAGGACACTGTTACAACTGTATAGCAAGTTATATCATCTTCTATCTAACAAGCTCTATTATTAAAGTGGCTACTTTGGTAAGTCCCAACCGTCGAGGTACCAAGACTGTGATATAGACAAATCTAAACAGACTATTATTGCCATTAATTACAGAAAACATCGGTATTGCTAAAAACTAACATCTTCAATCAAAGATAGTACGCAATCTTACCTCCCTGCATTTTATAATGTGATATTGATACCGTTTGGCGGGAATTCTGTGCACGTCGTCGAATGGACATTGAATAAGCTTATCGGGATCCCATCGTTCCCATTCTGTTGGCGCAGACCAAGCCATTTTGCAACGAAAATAGATGCCTGTTCCACACGTTACTACTGTTAACCTTCCTAATACATTACCCAGGCTTCACTGGTGTCACATCACACAGGATACCCAATAGCTGTTCGTTCTTTCTCAGTTTTCCAACAAAAGATCTATAATATAGGAGTGATGGCGCATGCAATTTATGAACAAATAAATKAAAAGACTCATTCGTCTTCAACAGGGAGCCTTTGATTTTCTGGTGAAAACGGCAAAGGATTTGAGTAATACACACTATAAAGTAATGTCTCCTTTGCAGCTTCCCCTTTTGTCAGGACCATAGCTAGTAAACTATGCCGGGACARGAAGCTATATAAAGTACTAAATGCTGATTTCATGGGATAATGGAGAACAAAACAAAAAACAAAACAAAAAACTTATAATGAAAAACCTTACAAATAATCCCCAGTATTGGAGAGAATACCTGTTTGATCATTGTCAGATCAGAGCTTTGGAATAGTAACTTTTCTGAATCAGTATTCAAAATCAAACACATTTATTATTATTGGAATCAAATCAATCATTGCTGGTCAAACTTTAATTTATGCACACAACAAACTGATGCTGGCATTAAATAAATTCTTGGCAGATATCACATCTGTGTATTGAGCATGAACACTAAAATGCTAGAATATTAATGTGAATAATGTTTTCATCATCCTAATTGGCCAGACTGGTAGGCCTGTTGATAGCCACTTTCTTCCTTTTTCTCAGGTGCAAGCTTGATCATATCATCAATGCGTAGAATGGTAATGGCTGCTTCAGTAGCAAACTTTAAGCACTTTATCTTGCAAATACCAGGTTCTAAAACACCAGCTTTTTTGTTGTCTCTAACAGTGCCATCCTSAAGACCAAGGCCAATCCTACAAACCAAGCAAAAGACATTCAACATTTTCTTGTCAGACTCTCCAAACACTGGCTCTCCTTATCTGACATATGCTTGTATCACAAGAAATATGAAGATGTAAAATGCAACAAAATATTGATTTTGGCCATCAATCAGTCAAACCACAATCATTTTAAAAGCCTGTCAATGAGTGTGTTTCATTGATCAGTCAGTGAATACATACCACTTGAGATGTGACCTTTCTGCATTGATTTGTGATGTATTATGAAAAGCTCTAAGTTTTGCTACTAAGTCTGCAGAGTCCTGAGCAGCATTTACAGCAAGAATCTTTGGTATTACTAGTAATGAGTGTGCAAACTCAGCAATGGCCAACTGTTCTCTTGATCCCTAATGAAATCACCAGACACTGAAATATTTGCTTTCTTCATTTTGATAGTATTAAAACATAGGTTTGCTAATAATATATTTAGAACTCAACTAASACACTTACTAAGGACGTAGCAAAATTTTCCAGATAAATTGACAAAGCAGCCTCTACTGCTCCACCACCAGGTACCAGAGTTTTGGATTCCAACACCCGTTTTACCACACAAATCGCATCATGCAGCGAGCGTTCCATTTCATCAAGCATTAAGTCATTAGCACCACGTAGAATGATTGATGCAGATGATCTTGCCTTTGTTCTATCACAATATAACAACAAAAAGTAAAAAAAAAACCCTTAAAAATACACAAAAAGTAGAGCCCATGCTCTTTATATATGAAAAGGATTGCACTGGCTAAAACCAACCTAATAATGTTGATTTGTAAACAAAGCATGTTGAACGGTTCTCAATGTTTATATTTTACCCTTTAATTATGATAAGTTCATCATCACAGATTCTGTCTTGTCGTACTTCATCAGCAGAGCCTAACATGCTAGCATCAAAGCTCTCTTCTCCCTCAAGATTTGCAAGTGATAACACCATGGTTGCTAAGCAGAAAAAAATATTTTTGTAAATGTAGTCCATTTTTGATGTGATAGTAAAAGTACAGCTTCTTACCACCAGTAGCTCTAGCTATTCTTTTTAAATCTGCCTTTTTTACACGTCGTACACCCATTGCACCACTTTCAACAAAATATTTCAAACACAGGTCATCTATACCACCAGTAACTAACACAACATTCGCTCCAGCAGATAAAATCTTGTGGATTCTATCCTTGGTTATACCAGACTCTCTGAAAGAGAAGAATGTGCATCATCGTGCTGTAATATGCAAGTGATGTTTCTTCATAGGATGACCTACCTCTCTCGTATTGCTTCAAGTTTCTCTGGATCATCRACCACAACACTCACTCCTAAATGCATTTTAGCTTTTTGAAGCGAGAAGTCTAGACAAGCTATTTTAGCATTCACTATTCTTTTTGGCATTGCTGAAAAAAAAACAAGACCATGTCAGTTTTAGGTACATGTAATCTCAAGATAGACTTACAGCTTAAGTATGAAGATATAGTGAGAATGCGAGATAAAGTCAATAACAACATGCAATAAAGAAATGTCTTCACTTTTCACTACAATGATGTATGACGAAGTTACATGATTGTTTCCTGGGGGAGGGGGGGTGGAGACTTCCCTATAMAACATGGTAGGTATGCTCGGCGGACAGATTGAAAACTGACCCTAAAAGGTACGCATAAGTTAATTATTTTACCTTGTGAGGCAATGGTACAATTCAAAGCATATCCATCYACATGGATACTTTCTTTAGTACTTCCACCATGTGCCTTGAGTATATTAATTCCTTTTATAGGATACTTAGCTTCTCCTTTATTTCCTGTTCTTTTTACTGCAGTTACTGCATCCACTATCATATTAGCAAAGAACTCTGACTGTTGATTGATTAGCTTGGAAGATAGAGATGTTTTGGCTGCATTGACAATACAATCTCTACCAAGCTCATCTACATTTATTGTTAAATGTTCTTGGATGTATTTACAAGCCTCCCTATATAGAAAACCAACAGTAATGAATGATAACTTCACCTGACAAGATCAATCACTCACAACGTAAGACAGAAAACATACTTGCAGGCTAGTCTGTATCCACTAATAATAGATGTAGGATGTATTTTCTGTGCTACAAGTTCATTTGCACCCTTTAATAATTCAGCAGCAAGTATGACTACAGATGTTGTTCCATCACCAACTTCCTGGTCTTGTAAATCAGCAAGTTCACAGAGAATCTTAGCCGCTGGATGTTCAACCTCTAGTAGCTTGAGTATGGTGGCTCCATCATTGGTAATGGTAACATCCTAACAAAATATTACTTTCAATATTACCATTTTACAACACACTGGAAATGACATGGTGCTAGAACTTGTTTCAGAAAACATATTCTCTAATATTGTGTAATGTAACTCARAACTCCTGGTTGGCCAATCAGGTGTTGCTTTTCTATTCTGAAACAAGTTTTAAGAGTTACTGTTGCAGAGGGTAATTCTAAAAAATCATTAACAGAATATTTACCAGTTGTGAACCCTTAATATCCATGTATATATTTAAATGTACATAACATTGAAAAATAACTTTTCATAATGCCAATACAGATTATTCCTAACAATCTTATTTGTTGTGCTGGTTTATATCTGACAGATATGAATCGAATATTGTACTTCTTGGAGAAATCCTCCGGGTGAGGTTAAAATAAGACAATGTTAGAGATTTCATGAAATGGGAGGTTTCTTTGAAAACACGTGTCATGAAATTTCAACTTGACAGATAAACCGGCGTGGTTTCAACAGCATTTGTCTGTCACATAAATTTACACTTATGTACACTTCAATTGTCTTAATAACACGAGGATCACATTGAAAGTGAAAATAATAATAATATAGTCTTTGAAAGGCTCACCCCAATGTCATCAACCAACATCTTGTCAAGTCCAACAGGACCAAGAGAACTTTTGACGATATTTGCAATCGCTGTTACTGCGGTAACTACAACGACATATTTAAAAATGTTAACCAGCAAATTTGATAAGAAACAAATGAAAAATGTTTTAACATACCATTTTGGTTTCTTATATTCTGCCCAGAGGTTCTTTCGCCTCCGACATGAAGAAGTTCAGCAGAACTTGGTGCAGACGACATCTTGAATCAGCGTGATCATGACACAGGGGCATCATGGGTAACGAAGGAGTGGCACTCCCAGAATACACTTGGTTCCCTGATAGACAACACTGAAGTAATTTTATATATGTARAAAAAAGAAAAGAAAAATGAGTTAGTTATTTCTTGTATCATTATATTACTATTATTGATTTATTCAAAGAATTGATCATTATTAGTGATGGGCTCCTGCAAAGGGCTTTTATATTTCATTTTGAAATATTTTGACGTTTGCAATAAAATGCATTGAAAAGAGTCTAGCAAGTTGGTGTCTTAATTTTAAGATACACTATATTAGCTAAAATACCTAGGTAGAGTTAGAAGGCCAGTTTCCGGTTCATAAATACTGTACATTCAAGTCTCCCAAGGCCTGCTGGGTAATACGGCTATTCTTRTTGAGGTGTGTTGTTTGAAAAAGCTTTCAGCAAGAACTGTCAGGAATGCTGATATCTTTATAATACATATCTTGTTTGATACCTACATGGATTAGAGGATTTACCAACAAAATGAAGCAAGTACTTTTGTGCTGTTTGACTGCTGTAGTTTCCATTCTATGTGTCTGTAGTAAAGGAATTCACGGCAGGCCCGGCGGAAGTAAAATGTGTCCTGATCTTTCTCTTCAAAGTTTACCAGTTGTTTCCTCGAGGCACCTACAATTGCACATCCTTAGTAGTCGTAGCGGGGATTCATTTAACCCATCTCGTCATTGTAGTGTTATATCAGTGAAATTCGTACCTGGTTCGGRTGGTGAAAGCTTATCTAAATACAGCTTGAGTCAGCTGTGGTTCGTCAAGAAAGACAACAACAGACTGAAGGTAGACAATTTTAAACAGTTCTCACTTTGTCTTCTTACATAGAAATAATCATTAGCTTAAAGAAAATCAAAAATGATACTTATATTTTGCCGTATTCTCTCTCAACTCAAATAATACTTGACGTTATCTTTGTGTTTTTGACAAAAGAATTCATAATTTGCTTCCTTCTTTATAGCTGGCTGTTCGTAACCAAATAACCATTAATGCAAAAGTTATCGTTGAACTAAACTGCAAGGGCAAGAGCTGTTTCTTGTTATCATCTGGTAAGTCATACATAATTTTTGAATAATTGTTTGTATGCTCGTCGCTGAGCTCATTTAAGCTTAAGCTTTTGAGAATATTAATTCTTCCATTCTTGCAAACTTTGCTTTCGGAAGGGCTTCAGCGATGTTAAAATAACTTAGTGTTTTGTTTTGAAACCGTTAATTTTGAGGAAACTGAAAGCTCAGATAACTCAGCTGATATCTTCCAAAAGATTCTCAAATATGGTAAATTCATTCAGCATGAAGAATGCACATTCCAATGTGATTTTTATATTATTTGCTTTGTTTAATATTACTTACCAAAAATGACATTCAAGAAGTTGATATATATTTGAGTTTTTAAGTTTTGTGATATTGATTTATTCTTGTTGTCCAATTTAGTATTTGGTATAAAAAGTAGCTATGTTATGGTAAAGGAAATTCATGKCTAAATATATAATGGTATTTGCATAATACTATTTCAACTAAACATTTATGCAAATAACTATATATGGTATTYTGAACATTTTGACCTACAGCTTGCAGATATCTTTGTGATCGATGAACTACTTTATTTTGATTGTAGATCATTATTGATTTTCAGTTAACAGGCAAGCCAATGATAAATGGAAAAGATACAAGAGGAAACTTTTAAGTCTCAAGTCAATTCCAAGAATGAATAATGATCACAATTCTACTCAWGTGTTTGTTGTTTGGATGGCTGTTGGAGCAGTTTTARCCCTTGTTGTTGTTTTGGCAATGTGTGCATGTCACAAAAATAATGTTGAGAAGTAAGTCATATGTTACATTTAAAGTTGATTATTGCTACAACATTGTGATCATGATGTACTGTTTTTCAGAACTCTGAGAGATGAAGTTGGTGGTACAGAGTTCAATCAGCAAGTTATTGGAGTATCAAGTATTAACAAGCCTCAACAGGTAGTACATGTACATGGAAATCTTTTAAGATTTATATTCCATCCATTCTTTCTAACCTTTTAACTGTTGTTTTCCAGGAAAGTCAAACTATCAAAGGAACAAATACAACCAATAGTACTAAGGACAGTAAAACAATTGCTACTCAAGAAAAGAATGGCTCAAGAACTGCCAGTSAATCTAGTCATCAACATGAAGGGACAGTTGAAAGAACATCTTATCTTGAGTCCAGTAACAATCAGTCTTCTATAAATGGAGAGAAAACATTAGAAATAGAATCTGAAACACATGAAAACAATGAAAGAATTAGAAGTCAAAGTACCAAAGAACAAACATCTCAGCCTAGTGAGTCTGTGGACTTAAGGGGTTTCAGCCAATCTGATACATTTATGTATAAAGGTAATGAAGCAAACATTGCAACACCATCACATGACAGGAAGCAGCCTGTGCAACTTATCTCTAGAAAAGATAGTGATAAAAAAGAGACCAAAGATCATGATGGAAACCAAAAGGTCAAAAGAAGCTGGTTAAGAAGGAAGTCTTCCAAAACCAAATCAACATCAGAAAATCAAACTCCAAAAACTGATAAGAAAACTAATAGCCGTCATTCAGACTTACCCCTTCCCCCAACACCAGAGGGTAAAAATCCACCCACCTTTATTGAAGAAGAGAATCAGTATGAAGCTGTAGAGACTCGTCCAAAAAGAGTTGAGAAAATGGCTGAAAGAAACATAAAAGAAGATTCCCGTCAGTCATCAGAATTATACGCATCCATTGATGAAGATAWAGCAAAAAGAAACTCTTCAGGAAGTCACATGTATGATGTTGTAGAAACCAAACAAAAACCAACCACTGATAATAGCAGTGGCCTTGAGTATGCATACACTGTAGTCGCACCAAAAGATAATCCAATCCAACCCTCACAAACTAGTAGTGGTAGTGGTCTATATGAGGTTGTCACTGAAGACATGAAGAAAAATATACCACTTGTTCAAGTAGAGAATGATTATGCCATTGTTCAGAAAGACTCATCCAAAAAGAAATCTTCCACAGCAAACCAAACAACTAGACCACTGTCAGATACAGACCTTGCACCAGCACCTCCTCCTGTTACTGTTATGCCATCGGTTAAACGAAGAACACAAAGTGAAGGTGAAAATCTAAATGTGCTAGCAGATAAACCATCAGCAACCATGTTGGGTGAACCAAAGAAGGAAGTGGAACATACATATGCTAAAGTTAATAAACTAAGGAAGACTAGCAAAACAAATAGGAATGCTGAAAACACACAAGTAGCGGATGATGAATCTGAAGAACCGCCACCCATACCACCTTCYTTGTATGCAGAATTACCAGTTAAAGGTACTACCAACTTGTCAGTTACAATTTTGGTCAAACAATGTCCAGGAATATTGCAATATTTCATCAAAATGCAGTTTCGCCAATCACCAGTATGTAATGTAGCTGGAATTCAGCCTAACCAAATTATAATGATAACATATACAATATTGACTGATTCACATTGCAATGGTGTAACATTTACTAAGCATATTCATATAATTGTCTTTTTGATAATAATATTTAAGGTGATGAAGAGCTGGTATCAGATGGTAAACATGAAGAAAACATGACAACTATCATAGTGGATTCCATGTCAACAAGCACCAATGAAATTAGTATTACATCTATGAATTCAACAAAGACTGTTGTGGTAGAGTCAGAAACACATATTCAGAGGAACAGTTTGTCTGATGTCAAAGTCTTGTGTGATGTCACAGAGGAAGTACTTCAAGAACCATTGCATAGKGGAAAGCCGATATCAGATGATGTACCCAATCCACTATATGATGAAATCCATTATGTCTAACATTGTGGACTATTTTGTCTGTATATTTTATTTTTGAATAATGTYAATTTGAAGATGCCGTCACATACTGGTAACTAGTGTGTAGAAAATATTATAGAGAAGTGTTTTTTATTACCATGACTCCATTTTATGCAAGCTGGTAGAGATGCTCATTTTGTAGCCTGTATATTTCTGAAAGTAGGCTTTAAAATGAAACAATTTGGAATTTATTGATGAAATATCTTTATCAACAACTTCTGATGTTGGTTGGATAGCAAAACAAGTTTGTGTACTATAAACATTGCTTGTCGCAGGTTTGTAAATAACACAATGAGCACAGATTATAACTCTGAAGTTCACAATATAGGGTTGTTGTGAAACTAGCCTCACTATAAGTGTTTTCATATATATTACAATAATTAACAATATAAAAGTTGAGCACTATTTATAGCTATATTGTATATTCAACAAAATCAATCAGGTTTTGTAGTAGGTAATGTATTTATTGTGATCAAGTAATAGAAAATATATCACAACATCATGACAACTCATGG